TGTTTTGACTTTAGTGTTTTGCTGTCTCATAAGCAAGTGGCAATAATACTCAAAAGCCTGAGTGTCTTCAAAAGAAACTTGGAAAGAATGTTCCTCTTTATTTGGCTTAATCTGCTGATGCTGATTATGGCATCCACAAGTAGATAATAGAGTAGGAATAATGCAATATAGGAAAAAGATAATACGTTAAAATCAGAAGAATTATGATCCTGAGTACTTGGTTCCACCAATATGAACTTTGATTTATTTGCATGATTTAATAACTCAGCTGATGCTAAAGTGTTTGCAAATTTTCTTTGCTATAGTGAATCTGAGTCCAGCAAAAGAACAGCTATATTGCACTGGCATGGTTGAAATGCTGAACTCTTCAAAGTATTCAAACCCTGAAGGGACTGGAGTTTGATGTCCATCTATTTTTCTACCAAGAAGGAAGCCACAGGTGACTTAGGACTGAGGATAAGGTGATCTACTCTGCCACAGAAAATTCTGTTACCCTTCAGCAAGTTTCAGGGCACCTTTTGCTAGCCCTTAGCTACAGGGGAAAGGTCATGCAAGTCAAAGCTTTAAAGTCAAAACATGAGCATAATGGGCCAGAGGCCCCAGATGCCTTTATATCATCTAAGTTGGTGGTGGTGAAACAGCCCAGAGAGCATGCAGGGTTTCCCCTAAGTATTGTTTTCATTCCAGGAGAAGGCTGACAAAAGAATGTTCTTCTCCATGGGGAATATAACCAAAGCTTCTGCAAAGAGCCTGTCATGGAGTTTCCTAGGTAGTGAAAGCTACATGGTATTTTACAAAAGTGTACACTTTAATGATTGTTAATTGCAGAGTGCTCTTTTAATACATGGGGAGCCTTCAATATCTGAAAATCTATTGAGCATCATGTGGGAGAGGGAGAAGGACATGGGGGCTTTTAGAAGGGCATTTACTCTGTCAGTGACATCTTGTATATAGCTGAGCAGAGGGTGGGGGAAAAAAAGGTTAGAGAAAATGTCCACAGTGGGTTCCATTGACCCAGAGACTAAGAATATCAGGTTTCTCATTTTACAGCTTTACTTCACTTTTAGTAACATTAACACTTCGAAATATATGATTATGCCTCTCATCCATGGTTACAGGGCTTTTCCATGATTGTGGTCCTTTGTTTTGTTTTTTTCTGTGAGAAAGAACTTTGTATCAATTTAGCACAGAACAAGGTTGATTCCTAAAATCTTTAAACACAACTGTGTGCAACAACAGCTTTACACATCCCATGGTGATGTAAAGACCCAAAATACTCACTACTGTTACTACTTGGCTTTTTAGCACCACTGTGGAATTTAGAGCAAGAGGACAAATTCATCTTCCACCAGGTTGCCAATCAGACACTGCTGGTATTTGGAATCTAGTAATGAAATCACTTAATCAGGTGACATCCTCATAACATAACTGCTACAAAAGTGTGTTTCCAAAGTAAATCAGACTCTTTGTTCTTGTTTCAGGTTGACTTTTGTGGTTATTACCTACCTTATAGCAGAAATTACATGAGTGGGGATATTTATAGACTTTATTTTGTGCTAGAAACATCAAATCAGAAATCCTGAATAGAGCAGTAGCTCTGAGTTTTTACACAGTTTTCTGAAATTTTTAAGCTACTTGATAATGAAAATGCTATTCAAATAATTCAGGTTTTTAGCGTTCCGCACTTTTGTATGCATGGTGTGCATAGTTCTCATTCTCATGGCTTATCATTGCAGACCTTCTTAGAGCCTTTCAATACTTAAAAAGCAGTTTTATAAGAAAGATGTAGAGATGTGTTTTACTAGTGACAGGACAAGGCCATAACAGTGTTAAATGAAAAGAGAATAAATTTAGATTAGATATAATGAACTTTTTATTAGCAGACTGATGAGACACTGGCGCAGGTCGCCCAGAGAAGCTTTGGATGCCTCATCCCTGGAAGTGTTCAAGGCCTGGTTGGATGGGGCTCTGAACAATCTGGTCTAGTGGAAGATATCCCTGCCCATGGCAGTAGGCTTGAAAGTAGATGATCTTTAAGGTCCCTTCCAACCCAAACCATTCTGTGATTCTTTGATCTATGTGATGATGAGATCAATGTACACACGAAGCTTTTTGCTTTAGACAAAATCTACTAGCAAAGGACAAAAGCTCACATTTATACAAGTCTTTTAACTTTGTGTGATAACACAGTATCTATGTTACAGATAATTCTGTCATATTTTCAGTTTTGGGACATTGTGAGACACTTTATCAGACCTTGAGAATTGAATGATGACATGGAATGGTTGATCCACTTGCTTAAGTGGATAGATAATAAGTGCAGAAAAGCTGTAGCACTTCCAGGGTGCTAGTTCTGTTGTTACACTGAAGCAAGATGATCACTTGTTAAGACATTTTCTCTCAGGTATTTTAAATTAATTTTAATGCCTGGAAGTAATGTTCATGGTTTTCCCACTGCACCCAAAGCAATGTTGAGTTTTTCACCTTCATTTGCTTGCAGTAAATAATGATCTACAATAAAAAATTTCTCCTAAGGAAAGGAGAAGCAGCCATGGCCTGTTGGGGAAACAATGGCCTTGCAATGTGTTCTAAAAAATCTGTGTGGCGCTTAGGCTGCAATGTCCAAAGGACAGAACAAGTCAAATGCTGTTACGAAGAAGGCAAACCACTGGCTCAGTTCCTCCCTAAACTAGGGATGCCCAGTATAAGCTCATGCAGGCCATTCTAACATGAAGACATCTGAGAGATGGAGCTGGTGTTAAGCAGCAGAATTGTCAGCAGAAATTCAGTCCTGACTGCTGTCTAGGATTGCCTGAGTTTGGAGGAGTAAAGAGTGCAGTTTCCTTTCTGCTTGGAACTACAAACATCCATGTAACTAAAAATATCCTGTGTTAAACATAGGAACTTGTGTGCTCAGAGCATCTAAGCCCTTGAGCTCTGTAACAGCTCTGCAGCACCTGGGTAACACTCTGGTCCTTGGAGATGTCCAGCCTGGATGGAATTAAAAGATAGCATCCACTACTGGGCTTAGAACAAAACTGCTGGCAGAGAGCTGCATTATATGCCTTAGAGCTTGTGACCCTGTAAGCATAAAGTTAAGTGAATTAACACACAATTGCATTTTAATGCCCAAACAAGTGAATTGAGTTACTCCTTTAATCTACTGTAGTTCTCCTGTCCTTTTCTGTGTAGTAGAAAAAAACAGATTGCTACCTGATGAGGTTTTTATGAGGTTAATAGCTGTGAAGTGCCCAGGCACTCTGATGATGAGGGGTGTACAAACACAAAGATACTATGCAAGCATAGCAATGCCAAATGCTTGATGCAGATTCCTTGTTCATTGTCTGATTTCCTCTCTTCAATTGCACAAGTAAATATATCCCTTTTAGATGAAAATACTTGTCCCTATGCCTAAAGTACCCTGGTTAAATTACCAGTAGTGTTGGTGACATTTCTTCTTGGTATACTTACCTGTATAAAATCAAGTGTTGAACAGGTCCTCGGGAGACCTTCCTTGCTGTGTGGGAGTGTAAGGAGCATATTTTCTTTCCTAATGGATAAGATTGTTAGCAAACACAGTCCCCATTTACATGGTAAAAACAGAATCTTTTACTCATGTTTTGTGATATTGTAGTTGTGCAAAGACAGCCTTGTTTATGTTAGTAAATGATAGGTGACCAAATTGAGACTGAAGTGGAAAAAAATCACATATTTGCTAAATTGCCTAAACATGCTGTCTTCAGAGAGCTACTTAGATTACTTTTCAATCCTCTTGTAAAGATTGTTTCTGATGCACAGGTTTAAATAAACTAACCACTTGTCCCTAACAATGGTTGCCGATCTCAGGTATATGTTTGTGAATAAAAGAGAATTAGAGGCCATGGAAATGCTCTGTTTCTTTGCTGGTTTTGTTCATACTAAATGGCTGTGATGTTAGTGCCATTGTATAGTTTCTTGGAGAAATTACAGTGTAAAATATCAAGGCTTTCCTTAAAAAAGAAATGTCATTCCAAATACAGTAAATATCAGATCATTTAGCTGTGTAGAGCCTGAAGCTAAGCTGGATACTGATTGAGTATGAAATGTTTATGTTGGGGATGGAAGAACTGATATGGTAAGCCAGAAGCTGCATTCTTTTGTTTTATATTTGCAAGAGGCAAGTATTAGTTGTATAAGCATATGATTTCCTCCTACATGTGTTTGCTTTTTAAGTAGTCTGTCTTGTTCCTTAACTTCACTTGTCTTTATGTAATGCCTTGAAATATATTCACATGTGCACTGGATTACTTTGCATGGCCCAGAAACCTACAGAGAGCTTTGCCCCGCTATCATAGAAATCTAAATGGTGCTGCTGGTTTTCAGTTCTCAAGGATGTCTTTGATCTGAATAGAAGAGCTGAGTTATACGAAGGAATGCTCATAGTCGCTCACATTTGTGATGTAGAACACAAAGGCATGTGTGCAAGATGGGTCTTGAATTGCCTCAATTTTTACTTGGTCTTAATCAAGAAAAGCTGTCAGAGATGTCTGTAAGGGCTTCTGTGTACAATCGATCGGTAAAGAAAAAGAGAACCTATATAATACACTGTGAATATGGCAAAACAAACTGGAGTGCAGTTCCCTAGGATTTATTGGTATGTTAAGAAATAATACTCCTTGTATTTCTGTGTTCACTGCATTGTCACCCAAGCCTTGGGAGCTTTGTGAAACACTGTGCCTGGTTATCCTGTTATGCAGATCATGAGTCAGGAGTGGTCCTGCTGGAAGAAGCAGAGTGGATTGTTACAGGTGATCTAAATTGAGTTTAAGTGGGTGGAAAGACCTAGGGAGCTGGTATGGTAGAAGCAGCAGGGGCTGTCTAATTACATTAATCCCTTTCTTGTCCTAAAGCAATGACCACTAATAAGGCACTGGAGCGAGGGTTTAGAAAGAGAAAGTGCCCCTGTAGTTCTGAAACTCTCCCAAACAGAAAAAGATGACTTTTCTCATTGCTCACCACAGCCATGCACCTGTTTGGCCTAAACTGGCACCTGCAGCCGATGGAAGGGCAGATGTATGAGATCACGGAAGACACAGCCAGCAGTTGGCCAGTGCCAACGGACGTCTCCTTATATCCTTCGGGGGGCACAGGGTTAGAGTTACCTGACAGGAAAGGCAAAGGAACCAGTGAAGGTATGGTTGGTGTGTGTCCATGTTGTGAGTCCTCTGTCTGCCTCTAAACTCCAGCCGTCCAATCTCATGTTCCATCACCCTCAGTGCTGCCATCAGCAGGTGCTTTTCCAGTCTTTCATGTCTAGAGCTAGTAGTTGTCAGTCCTGTTTCCATATGTTTCTAAGTTTCATACTCCTTTAATGTCCACTAATGCAATAAAACTGTGTGAAACCTTCTCCACACATTCAAGCATTCTCACAGATTACAGAAGGCCAGCATGAAAACCCTGCCTCGAGTGGCTGTTTTCATGGGAGAACAGTGTCTCTTGAAAATTAAATCATTCCTGGAGCACTGGATCAAGCTTCCTCTTACAGCACTACAAAAATGTTTGAGTTTGACTATTTGTTGCCACTTAGCAAATGTTTTGAGGACCAAAATACTTTCTAAGAGCTATTACACTGTAAGTTTTGGCACTCCAGAGTTGGACATAGCTTTGCAAAAGTATCCAGATAAAAGGCCTAGTTTCCACAAAGTATCACAGTGTTGACAGAAATTAGAAGCAGCTTATGGGTCCTCAATTCAGTAGCACCTTATTCAGCAGCTTTACATCATTGTACTCTATTTTTAGAGACACCACTGGTAAAACTACTTGTAAGCTCTGCAAAGTCTTATCCTTCTCCAGACATAGCTGGAGAAATGAGAAATGCAAATTTTCAGAAAGTTTTTTTTGTGTGTCAAGCTTCTCTATATATAATTATGAGATTCCAATAAAATTGAAATAATAGACTATTTTGATAGTTATTTTGGTGGAAGTTTTTTGGGCAGATAAGATGGATGCTACTGTTCTTGCAACTCACTGAACTCAAAAGTTTACACAGAGTTCCCTAGGGTTTGACTGACAGCCTGTGTTTACATGTTTAATTTAAATTAATTTTAGCAGTTCTTTTTCTGTAAGAGTTTTTTTGTCTTTATTAGTTCAAATAAAGGCCATAATTACGTATATTTACTGGTAACTAATGGCTGCCATCAAGTTGCTACAAGGAAAAATCAGCTAAGCAGGTTATTCTCAGCAAACCTTACTAGACAGTACAGCAAGCTGCAGACAGCCCTGCTGTTGTACTCAGAAATAGTTTATGATAGATCCTTTTTTTTCCCCCTCTAGCTTGCCATATGTTTCATTTTTGAATCATCTAGCTTTGATCTGTCCATTTCCTTTTAAAAGTCAAAATGAAAATAAATGTATGTGTTCAAAACTGCAGTCCAAGTAAAAGACCTCCACTGGATTTTATTTTAGCCACGTTTACAGTGACATGAGTAGAGGTTTTGATTGTTGCTCTGTTAAAAGAGAAATCTGGGAAGTAGCCTAGTTATGTCATGAGAAGACCCCTCAAGTGAGTGCTTTGTATAGATCTTAGGGAATCTGTAGGCTTTAGAGGGAAATACCATGTCCCGACTGAAAAAACACATTGGCACTTCTTTGGTGCAGGAGTAATGCTGTCCAGCCTTCAAATGCAGCTCTCCCCATCAGGTAACTATGTGACTAATTCTGGACTAGCAATGCTGCAGGGCTTCTGTTCTAAATCAGAATGTATGTGATTGAAATTTATTTTTAAAAGAATTGAAATATATTTGAATGTCTTCTGGATCAGAATGAAATAGGCTGGAATGTGTTAGGAACATCCTTAGAGCTGATCAGAATGAATCATTTCCAGTGTCTTGCCAACTCTCAGTAGCAGTCATTCCTTCTCATCTGTGGCTGTGCTCCAGAACAACATTTACCTCTGTTCAAAACCAACCCTGTTTACCAAAGCACTTAATCATGCTTATATTTAAGCATGTAATTGACTGTGGTTGAAGTCAGAGCTATGTGTGTTCTTAAGTGTTTTGATGGGTCAGGGAACCATCCTGAGAGAAATATAGAGAGATTCAGCAAGGTCTTAAATGAAGGAGTTCATTTTGATATCCAGAGAAATTAGGAACAGTTGCTACAGCAACTAAAAAGTTCAAGGTAATGTGCAGAAAGAGCAAAGTAATTGACAGCCCAATTAAGAATTCAGACCTGTAATTAATTTTAAGGAGTCAGGTATTCTGATTAAAAGCCAGTTTCTGATTAGAATCTCAAATGGCTTTTTTCATTGTAATTTCTTTGTGAAGTATCCAGTCCCATAGGGCCTAATCTTATTGTAGGCTACACTGGTGATACAGAGAGGGATTTCAGGGACTGAATTCAGGCTGGTGAAGAGAGCTTCTCCTTGGACTTCTGTATCAGGACAAGCTTCAACCTCTGGCAACATGACATAACATGGATATCTGCTTCTCAGACATAGAGCTGTCCACCAAGAGGACACATAAACTTTGTAATTCTGTGTACAAAAAATTATTTCTGTGAGACTGTCTTTTGCAATCACAGAAGCATTTTCGTTTGCATGAGCAAGTGCTGCTCTCTCTACAGAATACACCCTGTGCTCATTTTCTCCAGGCTCTATCTTGCATAGCAACATCTGTCATGTTAAATTCTCACCTTCCCTGATTCACTGTGATGTACAATCTTTATTAATGAACAATCATGGGGAATATCAAATTCTTAAGGTTTTCATCTGAATATCTAAGAATCTATAAAACATGTCAGTAGTAATGAGAAAAAATATATCCTTCATTTGAACCAAAACATGTGATGTCTTTAGCTCTTCTTTAATAGAATCCTCAATCTTTTCATCTTGCAATAGTGCAATATGAAACTTTGCATGAAGACATTGGAACTGTTTCCTATAATCCTGACAGTGTGAAAAGAAAATTTTAGTATGCCAAATAAATACTGTCAATTCAGTTGATAAAGTAATTCCCTTCAGAATCTAGCTGGTTGATTTTCCTTGTGCAATTATACTCTACTAGCACAGAAGGATTCAGAAAGAATGTCTATTTACCTAAGCTGCTTCCGATTATCTCCTTTAATATGTACATGGACTGAAAAAGAATAAAAAGTCAGCAGATTTCCCCCCGTATTGATTTGAGATGATAAATGATGAGCAATGATAAATGGAGATCTTATGAAATTAGGAGTGGCTTTTTTTGTGTGAACATACAGCCTTTGCATATACACCTTTTGTGCTGATGTGCATTAAACTTCTGCCTCAAGATAGCTCATGCCACCAAGTCCTGCTCCAGCACTGTCCTTAAGCAGTTGCTGACTTTAAATCAGGGTTTAGTGTTACTGGAGCCGAAATTCTGCAAGGAAAAATTCTCCATCCTTAATAGTTAATATGCTTATCATTTCCACATTGATTTTCTGAGGCAGCTAGCAATTTACATCTGTTTCTCATGGAGAGTTTCTGTTGGGATGATATGTGGAGAAATTTAAGGCAATACTGTATTTAAAATTATGTAATCTTTAAGGAAATGTCATTTGAAACAATAAAATGCAATGTTCTACCAGTCGCCTTTTCAACATGGCAAGTAAATTCTGAGACTATTTTACATAAATTCATTATAGATGGGACAAGATTTTTTTTCCCCATTCCTCAAATGTAGGTACTGGAACAAAAAAATTCATGTGATTTTCCTATAAAAGAATGTATGTAACCAGAAGTTTCCTTCTCGTTTTGTTAGAATTGTTTACTCTGTGAAACACAGAGTAGTGTGTGCTGTAATGGCACGGAGATAAGAAAGAAATTTATTTTAATTTCCAAAATTAATAGTTAGTCCCTGTTGGTGACATGTTGCTCTCCTTACTAAAGCCAGAATCTTTCAGGTGACACTGCTGCATGCTTTTCCACTAGAAGTGTCCTTAATAAAGGCTGTTTGCTAAGCAGTTGCCTTCTTCATCATCCCTGTGCCCTGCAGCCAAAGCTGTGGCCACTGGTTATAGCACAGGCTGAAAAGGGAGCATTCTGGTGCTTGATTTTTCATTCTGCCCCTCATTCCCTTGTCTTCCTTTGGGTCCAGATTTTTTGAAGCAGCCACCTGCTTTGGGAGTTATGACTGTATAAATTTCTAATCTGGACTTGCTCAAGTGTGTTTTTAGGGGTACCAAGCTCCCTGCTGACTCCCTTGGACATGATGGCATGTCCTGATCCCATTTGAGTACCCAGGCTCTCCAGCCTGGTAGTTTTAGAAAAAGATGCCTCCATTTGTCTTTTGAAAGAAAATGGATAATAATAGCATACTTTACAGATTATATTGAAACCAAATTAAAACCTCTCATATTTCTTAATTTATACTACTCAAGTGCAGGGTGTGGTCTTTTTTGTTTATCTCAGTCCTTTTTTTTCATTAGCTTTTTTTTTTGCTATTTCAAATATTGTCAAGAATTAATTTAATAGAGAAACATTTTCCTTTCCTCACTTAGGCATCATTCATGCTGCTGTTCTCCGCACCACCATTCCACTCTGTGGCACGTCTATCTCATTCTTGCTACACTTCTCTTTACTAATTTAATGATGACTTCTCCATTCCTAAACTTATATTAATTTAGGATATAATGTCAGATGATTTATTCTTATCTTTGGAATGTAATTACGCACTCTCTGATGTTAACAATTTAAACAAAAGGCCATTTTTCTCCAGGTTGCTCTTCCCATGCTCATGTTTTCAAACAAAACAGTTACTAAAGCCAGTTTTCCTCCCATAATCGTATGGATTGGCTAGACATAGCACTCTGAAGACTTCAGGACACTAATAGACTGTTTCTCAAGATCAGTGTCAGAGATACCAGTATGATTAGATTACTTTCAGGATCTAAAGACTAATTCAAGAATTTTGTTCCTGTGTTTTGGCAGGAAAGCCCAGTAGTTTCTTTCCAGACGACAGTTTTATAGACTCCGGAGAAATTGATGTAGGCAGACGAGCCACACAGAAGATCCCTCCTGGTATCTTTTGGAGATCTCAGGTGTTCATCGACCACCCAGTGCATCTGAAATTCAATGTGTCTTTAGGAAAGGCTGCTCTGGTTGGCATCTATGGCAGAAAAGGACTCCCACCATCACACACACAGGTAACGAGACCTTATTTCAATTAAATTATCTTGTCTCAAATTGATGTTTGTATGATCTATTGTTTTATTTCATCTCTTTCAAGGATTTGTTGCGTGCTTGCAAGATCCCCAAGATCATTTATCCAGAGAATGAGAATCAAGAGACACTTGAAAAAAATTACACAAATTAATTTGGTGGGCTGTAGGCAGGGGCAGAGTAGGCAGTTGCCTGAGGCAGCAGGTTGCCAGAGGAGAAGGGTTTTGTGAGGCTGGTTTGGTGGTCAATGAGGGTACCAGGTGGTTGCTCCAAGCAGCAGAAGGTACCACCTTCTCCATTCAGTGCTTTGCACAAAGGCAGCCACACTCAAGCTGCATGCAAAGGAATCTTCTCTTAAGCAGATTCATATACTTCAGGTGTGTCTCTTTTTTAGCCACTGTCTTTCCCATCTCGTGGTAAGAGTAGCAAGACCCCAGTTGGTCTTCCTTACAGGAACAAGATTCACTTCTGTCTTCCATGATGGAATGCCTTGAGCCAATCCTTCACATGGTGTATGCTGACTGTCAGCTTAGACTGAGGTTTATCAGGGCCAAGTAATTAGTGTATAAGAGAAGAAAACCAATTTACAGAAAGCCACCAACTTAGGCAAAAATCAAGATCCATTTATTATTCTGTAGTACTAAAATGAAAGCAGATGCTTTTTTTAACACACCTTGACAAAAAACATGTCAAAAAATCACTTTGTGGGGAAAGCTCTGAAGAACCATCGCCTTAAGTGAAGATTTTATACATTATTTTCTCTCCTTTCTGTTTCAGCTTCTTAAGCTGCTCTTACCCAGATTGATTAATACATTAGGGCATAATACACTGCAGTGCAAAGTGTCTTACTCCCACTTGCATCAGCAGGTTATCAAAGAATTAGCAGGTTTATGTTAGTGTATCTTGCCCTTGCCCTCTACTATTAGCTGAAAATACTAGAGATTTATAGAAATACCCTGTCTTTTTTTCGTTTCTTAAAAAACAAATATGTCTATTATGATCTCTGTAGATAATATGGTATTTTGTACATATTAACACACCTCCAACTTATCTCTGTCAAAGAGGTGTCATAAATCTACGCTTCTATCCCTACTTTTGTGCAGAATTAAAATATTCCAGTAGGATCAGCACATAATTTCAGTGCCACAGTAATGCTTTACTGCCCTTTTCTAATCAGTCTCTTTTCACAGGGAGATTGAAACATTTATAACTTTAAAATCCTGTGTTAGTTAAATAAAGGCTCAAGTCATGATTGCTTAATACTAACTTTAGATCAGAACTTGTATTCCTTTTATTTCTGTATTATCATTCTTAAATTTTGTTATGGAACAGAATTTATTACATGGATAGGTTCAATTGTTTAAGTAAAAAAAACCCTAAAATTTAACAGATAAACCTCACTTCTTCCACGGAGTGCAGTCATTGGTTTCTCATAAGGTGAAAATCATCATGAGATCTTTTTCAAAAGCCCTGCAAGCAGATGTGCTCAAGCATGGGCTCCACTGTCCATGAGGCCAGAGGTCCTGCCAGGAGCCTGCTCCAGCACAGGCTTTGGACAGTCACAGCCTTCGTTCAGGTATCCAATTGCTCCTGAGTGGGTCTTCTTCCCAGGCTGCTTGCAGGGGGAACTCTGCTCCCCTTTGGAGCTCCACAGGCTGCAGGGGCACAGCTGCCTCACCATGGTCAGTGCCACAGGCTGCTGGGGAATCTCAGCTCCAGCTGAGAGCACCTGGAGCACCTGCTGCTTCTCCTTCTGCATTGACCTTGGTGTCTGCATAATTGAGCTACTCACGTATCCTTACTCCACTCTTCTCTAGCTGCAATTACTTTTGTGCAATTTTTTTTTTTTTTGCCTTCTAAAATATGTTATCAGGGAGGTGGCAATTGCTACCATCACTGACAGGCTCAGCCTTGGGCAATGGCGGGTCTGTCTTGAAGCCAGCTGGCATTGGCTCCATCAGACACCGAGAAAGCTTCCAGCAGCTTCTCAAAGCAGCCACCCGTGCAGCCCCCTCTGCTACCAAAACCTGGCCATGCAAACCCAATACAATGCTCAAAGTCATATCTATCCATGCTAAAATAACAAACTATTCCAAATTCTCTTTGGGAAACTTTCTCTGCCTGTGGTGATTCTTTTCTATTTTAGGTTGCCAACAACTGTGGTCACTAATAAGCACTAATATGTAGGAAGAAAATGTCAGCTCCAAATTTCTGTAGTCTTAGAAATAGATCGTGCAGAAGCCCAAAACTGTTTGCTATTAACAAAAGGCATTTATTCTCATTCTTCTCAACAGATCATAAATAAGTTACACAATTTTGTTATGGTCTATTAGATTTAATCTTCCTAGATAAAATCCTTTTTTAAAATCATTTTGACCTACGCCAAATTTTAATAAATCATAAATTTTAGGGATAGATCGTCACTGCTTGTGGAGGGCATTTTTCCACTTGAATTGATTAACATGGTATTTTATCAATGATTTCCTTGCTGGCAGTAACTAATAGCCTATTAAAAATCTTTGAATGTATTAAAATGCAATAAAGCCCAATCCATTTGTGGCTCAATTATTATTTACAACTAGTAACTAGTAGCTTGGCAAAGTCATCAACAGCTGCAGCAGCATCTTGCAAATATTTGTTTAAAAAACCATTTTGTTTCTGGCAGAAAGCCCCAAGTAAGCATAACCCAGATTGGAGTGGAACAACAGTATCTCCCTGTACCTGAGTGCCTTGAAATTGTTTTCATCTCACTAAGCTCTGAGTAACTACATCTAATATATAGCAGAAAGTGGATGCTTGTAAGCACAATCCACGGGACGTTTCTTAGATGTCCACTTTATAATGAGGCAGCTTGCATCCTAAAAGTGTCTCTTCACTTGCAATCCAGTGAATCTAGAAAACTAATTCAAGCTGCCATGGAGGTGTCAGTACTTAGTGAGGTGAGTTTTGCCTATGGATTCTTAAGTTCTATTAAAAAATCGAGTCAAACTGTTCCATCATGTTTCAAAATTAATATGGAAATACTTACAGTTTCCTCTTACTGGTTTTACCTTCTTTAGTTTACTTGTTCCGTACTCAAGCTCTGTTGAGACATTCCCAGCACCTAGACACCATGATGATGTCCTCTGTCACTGTCCTGCTCAGCTATGTCAGCCATGGTCACACTGAGACCTGAGGAGGCATCAGCCTAGGCAGTAGCTCATGCTCAGAGTGGCTACAGACACCTGGGTCCCAAAGTGTCTTTCAAACCAACCATTCACCAGTATCCTCTTAAATCCTTCTGTTGTCTTCATAGAATCATATATGCTGAGTTGGAAGTGACTTGTGAGGATCATTGAGTCCCAACTCCTGCCTTGCACAGGAGACCCCAAGAATCACACCATGTGCCTGAGAGCATTGTCCAAACACTTCCGTGACCACTTCCCTAAGGAGGCTGTTCCAGTGTTCAGCCACACGCTGAGTGAAAAACCTTTTCCTGATATCCAACTGAAACCTCTCCTGACTCAGCTTCAGGCTGTTTCCTCAAGTCCTGTCCCTGGCCACCACAGAGAAGTAAGAGATCAGTGTCTGCCCCTGCACTTCGCCTCAGTGAGGAAGCTGCAGCCTGCAGTGAGGTCTCCCCTCAGTCTCCTCCAGGCTGGACAGACCAATGATCTCAGCTGCTCCTCACACGGCTTCTTCTCCAGAGCCTTCCCCATCCTCATGGCCCTCTTTTGGACACTTTCTAAGAGATCAATGTTTTTCTTCTGTTGTGGCACCCAAAACTGCCCCCAGCCCTCGAGATGAGGTTGCCACAGAGCAGAGCAGAGCAGGACAGTCTCCTCCCTTGCCTGGTTGTCAGTGCTGTGCCTGATGCCCCCCAGGACACTGTTGAAACAGAAATGTACATTTTTAATTACACGTTTGGAATTTATACTTGCCTTGTATTTTTAAATTTTAGATTGTATATTTTTATAATTTATATTTACGTCATATTTTTTCCAAAACAGAAACTCTGTCTCTAGCAAAGCTAACTTGGGTAGACACCCAAAAGGAATGACCTTTGCAGTGTGGCAGCTTTTACATTCTCAAAAAGACACTTCAGCACCAAATTTGAGATCTGTGTACTGAAATATAACCAAAAGAAAATAAAAATTAAAAGTTCAAAAACAATTTCATGTAAATAAATAATTAAAAATATGTCATTAAAATAGTCTAGGGACGAATTCTGTCATTTTATATGCGAACTGTGTCATACATAGCTTATTGCTCAAAGTGTTCTTGGAAATAAACACTTCTTTTTTTAACTTAGTAGTTTAACTTTTTTTAACGTTTCCTACATAGGAAAGAACTTGTCATCAAGTCCTTATCTCAGCTGACTTTGAAGACCATACCAGACAACTCAATAACCCAAATTTTGCTACAGTAAAGTGAAAAGGGATAAGCAGCCTAAATAGTGGTGCCACAGTCAACTAACACTCAGCAGCCATTCAGTGTAGCAACATTTACGGGTTCAGAAATAAGTAGTGGTGCTTCTTTCTGCCTATTTTTCTTCTTCCTGCCAAAAAAAAACCCACAAACTTTCCTGATTAGCTGGATGAGAGAGGCAAAATCAAATGAAGTCAGGGAATAGAAAAGCTGAATAGTGCCTCAACTGTTGGATTCTGCTTGCGAGGTGTCCTGGTCATCTAAACACATGATAAAAGTCAGATTAGATAAGGTTCATTTAACATTTGGGATGTCTGCTAGGCTTATATCTGCCTCATCCCATTAATATAATACCAGACAAAATACAGTTACTGTGGGAAATCAGTGGAAGGTTATTTAAATAGGGAACTAAAGGGAGTTGCAATACTAGTATTAAAGCAAAGCAGTTGTTCAGTTGAAGTAACCCTTGCAAAAAGTAAATGCATCATTTTGAGGAAAATACCTAGATCCACTCCTTAAGTGGGACTTTTCTATATTATTTATCTCCTTTCCATCTTCATTTTCCATGGTCTTTTAACCACATTTCCTCTTGTTTTAAGATAAAACCCTTGTTGGCTAAGCAGAATACTTCTGCAAAACCTCTACCAGAGTTCACTTTAAAATACTTCTTTTTTTTCCCTTGGTGACCCCTAGCAACTCTGGCAAACAACCCAATTGGGCTAGATATATTTTTCTGTCTTATTTTCTGTATTAGCCAAGATGTAAAAAAAGATAACAGGCTGCTTAGTGTCACATGTACAGTGTAGTTGAGGCATGGTCTCATGTTCTCCTGCCTATATTTCTAGAGAATGAGAACACCTCAGTAAGGTAATGTGCTGCAAGTCACCTTCTAAACAAAGATGATTTCAAGATTCTTATAGGAAAATACATTAATATACTAGCTATTTCCAAAATGGTTATGTGCAGGTAATCCAGGAAAGTACTTCAGTTACCAGTGCAAATCCTGTTTATGATGCTTCTGCAGACCCAGAATAAGAGACTAAGGTGGAGGAAACCTGCTCAACACACAGACATCACTCCCTCTTATGTTTCAGTTCGACTTTGTTGAGCTCCTTGATGGAAGACGTCTGCTGACACAGGAGGCGAGAAGCTTGGAAGGACCTCAGCGGCAGCACAGAGCGTTTGTGCCCTTGGCCAGCCACGAGACAGGATTTATCCAGTATTTAGATTCAGGAATATGGCATTTAGCCTTCTACAATGACGGCAAGGAATCGGAAGTGGTTTCTTTTCTTACTACTGCTATTGGTAAGGATTTCCTCTCTTATTCCTAAACTCCTAAATATCCCTTGGGGCCAGGTATTCCAATTGCATGATGGCTTTGTGTGGTTTTGGAGAAAATACTTGGAGGGGATGGTATTTAGCAGGGTGCTGAATACTGTAAGACCCTAAATGTTGAGTAAGTATTTTGTAGGCCTTTTAGGTAACTATAACCATAACAAGATTTTGCCCAGTGCCAAACATGGATTACGAGCTGAAAAATCCTTGCTTTATTTTCTTACTTTGATTTTCCTTTTATTTAGTTGGCTCTTGTTGGTTTTGTTTGATTTTTTTGTTTGTTTGATTGGCTTTTTTCTCTTTCTGGAGCAGAGGTGTAGGAATGGTTAAAGAACAGACAGCAGCACCATTCCACAGTTCTGTGTGACAGACAGTCCTGCCATTGAATACCATCAAAATCACTCAAGCTGGAGTTCAGGCAGAGTACTGGGGTTAAAACTCCAGTAAAGTGCAGTGTAAGCCTTGGTAGTAGCAACCACGGTAACAGGAATCCCTGTTTCTCCTTGCTAACAGAAAGAAGCTGAGCTTGCTTAAGAACAAATTAACTAAATAGGTCTTTTGACTTCTCTGGCAGTAAAATGCTCTGTCAGTTCAGCTCACAGGTATGGATTTGTTGCTGTTCAAGGAGGAAAAGATACTGCCAGTGGGTGCCTGACAGCACACTGAGTATTCTTCCACCCTTTAAATATCTAAATCTGTTTCCGATTCAGTAATACTTAATTTTAAATTTGATTGACCTGCTGAAACTGTTCATATACCTGAATTCATTTGGTTGTAATTTAAAGATTAGTTCATAAAACTAGCACTCAGCTTTCTTATAACCACAGTGTTTAATGGACTTTTTTCTTTGCAGAAAAAAGCAGACTCATTCCAAAGCTGCCATTAATCCCTCTCCCAACAGAGGCATTGGTGTTGAGTCTCAGCTGTCTGCAATAGTAACCTAAGAGCTATGGGCTGTAATTTGTCTTGGCAGATTAATTAAAAAGTTTAGCTCTTATTAAAGCAAAGTCATTAATAACCCAATATTCCATTTTAGCACTAAAGTTTATCTAACGAAGAAATGGAAACTGCTGTAATACTATGTTTTAGATTTAAAACCTGGAAGTGTGATGTTCTGTCTTGTTTGCAGTTGAGCAACAGTAGAAGTAGTTGTATATCAGCTTATGAAATTGAAGTCTTACTCAATAGAATGCAGATTTACTTCCATTTAGTTTACTTTAGTAATTTGATTTTTTACTTAAAACAACCACAGAAGCTTACGATATTCTTCTAAAGGCAGCTTTTTTTTTCCTTGTCTAAGAATGTCTTCAGTTCAAAATTTCCTATCACAGGAAAGAAATCACTAAGGCTCTAACAGCAGAAAACACGTTTAAAGCACTGTCACTACTTGTTCTTGTTTTCAAAGTGATGCTTAAGTGTTCTAGCCAGACTTTTCTCTTGGCATCATTGCACTAATATGGGAAAAAACAAGAAGAAAAGAAAGGAAAAAAAGGATTTTTAATTTGTGTCTTTGAGCATCAGGGGAATGGTGTGGGTGAGAAGCATGTCACATTGTCTTCAAGGCAATATTTTTTTTTTTGTTTTTGCTCTGCTCTACCTTCATGACTGCATGATAAGCAGAACAGTCCACAATATGGAGCCCATGATATATTCAGTATGTCCCTTGATGACCTTGAATCATTCAGTGTTTCTGTGATTCAGAAACAAGGAAGTTTTCTTTTGCTACAGAGGTGGGAATCACTTAATCCACTGGCAGCTGTATATCAGTACAAAGCTGTAGTGTAAAAAAAACTGTTTAAGTACAAGCTATGCATTTTGAAACAGACTTAAGTAAAAATTTTAGGTAGGAAAATGTGGCTTTTTGGCTAGAATTAGTCCAGAAAAGTGCAGCATTTGTATAAGTACCATAAAAACATTGTAACAGCCTTAACAAGTTGGTACCTTTCTCCTCAATCTAGATTTCAACAGCTTGTTAAAAAAAAAATAAACAGGTGTTTTGTGTAACTCTAATGCTTCAGAACCTTTCTGTTGTATTCATGAAGTCTGGCAAGAAGTGGTTGCTAGATTGTAAGTACATAAATACTGTGGTACTGTAGTGTTATTTTTTTTTCTATTGCCCAAGTAGAGAGGATAAAGCAACCTGACAGTGCTTATGAACCAACGTGTAAAGTTGCAACACCAAACAAGTCACACGTGACGGGAGCCTTAGATCTGTCTGTGCAGAGTGAGGAACCTTCAAAGAAGTTGTGTTGACTGTCAGAGGCAAGCTGCCATTTAATTTGATTCCTGTGGCAAGACCCCCTAAAAAAATCTCCCTTTATTATTCCACTAACATAGGGCTTACAGTAAGAGCAATTTTCAAAAGTATAGCTGTGATGCAGGAAGAAGTAGGATCCAGTGATCTGAGAAGAGGACCAGCAGCCTGGAACTCGTGAATTCTGATTGATGTGTTAATTCTGCCCCAGCCTAGGCTCATGCTTCAGCTGCTCACCGTGTAAAACTGAGGAGAATGACATTTCCCCAGAGATGCTGTGAGGGTGATAGAACTGCTGGGAAAATGAATGAAGCATTAATTAATAATCGCAGATAGTAGTAGAAAGCACAAAACTGATAACAGTGATCATAATGGTAAGTTCATAAAGCCAAACTGTGCAGCCATTGCTTCAGGCAACCATCCCCTGCGAGTGAGGACTCACCAAAATAAATGGCAATAGCTTTTACTTCAGCAATAAACATGCTGGATGGAAAGAGTGCTGATTTTCCAAGTCTTATCTGCTATGTTTCAACAGACCGAGCTGTTCAGAGCCAGCAAATCATTGCAGGCTCTGTATGACAGTATCAACTGCAATTACTGTGCAGTGCTTGCCTGGAATGATTTGGCTTCCATTATTCTAGTGGAAACTGGAGAAAAATGGAAAAAAGCATCTTTATTCTCAGTTTGATAGCACACAGTTAATTTCATAAATTGTGAGGCTGTCCATTGTACAGCTTTGGAATGTGATAAAGCTGTAACTAAATCCACTCAGGAACGTTAGCATAGATTTTGAGGGCAGAGGATGGCAACTTGGCCTGTTTTCTAAACGGGTATGGAATCATCATTGTAGGTTAAGGTGGTGTCAAAATGTGTGCCTGTTACATGCACTGAATGTAAACCTGGGGAGAATACAGCCTTGTAATGCCTGTCAGAGCTTATACTGCTGAATAATACAGGAAGTTCAGGTAGAGGGAAAAAAATTATTCTGGAGAAGTTTTCAGTTTTTCTTAATAGGATATTATATATTATATATATATAATAGGATATATATATTATATATGTCACATTCTTCCAAATTACAATTCATTACATTATAAGGGAATGGACAGTTAAGGTCTCCCATTAATAAAGTAACCTTTTTGTAAATAACATTGGTGGCACTTTCTGAAATTCCTAATAGGAATACTTCTTCAAGAAGCACCTTGTGGATTCACAATCTGCAACTGTCTGCCTGATAGTGGTAATTTATTTAGAGCACTCTTGTCTGGTGAAGCAAAATAGAAGGCTGAGGAATCAGCTGGAATCAGCACATCTGAGACTGAGATTTTTGGCCAAAAGTCTGCTTAGTAGAAGCAAGAAACATCTGAGAACCTGAAAAGAGCATCTGTGGAGTCAAAATGTCTTCCAGCAGCTGCTACTGCTGAGCTCAGGCAGTCTTGACTGTGCAGGGCCATTGAGAAATCAAAAGGAAAAGCAAAATCATTTGTCTGTGAGAGGAGACCATCACTGTTTACCAGCTTGTCACCCAGCAAGTGACAGGAAACACATGTAGAGCACCCGGGATAGGATGCAAGGTTTTATCTCATTCCTATCTTCTACGTGAGACAATGCTTAAGTTAAGAAAAGGACCATTTTTTCTGCCCCTCTACCATCCATAAAAAACCCTGCTGCAAGTAGTTTCCTCCATTGAAGTGCAAGACAAGCTCTAGTGTGATTTATAAGGGGCTGCCAGCACATCCAGCACTTGGCAATACACACCAAAAAGCACGTGCCCTTCCTGCAGTAGGACAAAATGTAACCTACCCCATGCAGTCCCTAGGACAGCACTTCACGCTCAGGGATGGTACCAGCAGAAGAAAATTCACAATAGGACTGAACTCACAGCGGAGAAATGGCAGGGCAAAGAGACAAGCACGGTACTGGGAGCCCTCCTTGTGTGAGAGGTGACAAGAATGGCTTCCTCAGCATTGTGTGAAAGTGCCTTTGTGTTTAGCTTGTTCTTAGCATAGAGAAAAGGAAGCGTCTGAGTAGCTCAGATTTGCTTCCCTTGTTTCTGCTGCTTGCGTGTAAGCTAACTTAAATTCTAGCAATTTCCACTTCAGAGAGGATACAGAAGTGTGATCCACTTAGAGTGTCAAAGCTATTCATGTTATTTACACTTGCTTTGCTAATGCCTGGAAAAAATTGGTTTCATGAAAATACTGAGGAGTCAGGATACTGTGCAGAGTAACATGGGATGTGATCTGTTCTGGCTTGCACTTTCCTTTTAGCTCCTTAATGCCTCAGTTACTCAAGTTAAAAGTCCCCCATGTACTATTAGATCTTCAGGACTCTGAAGGAGGAAAAGTGGTTTTAATGTCCCAGCTACCCTTTTCTGAACTTCTCCTTAGGCTAAAGAGGCTCAAAGTTCAACAAGGACTTTGCTGCACCAGAACTCCTTAACTGCTGATGAAACTCCAACTTCTCTGTGTGGAAGAGCTCAGTTCTCCCCTATAACATGAGTATGGTCATCTTAGCCCTTCTGTTTCATAGAGGGACATGGAGCACTCCCACCCTGTGGTAACCCTCTGCACATATTAGTTAGTAACCCATTCCTGCTCACACTCACAATTACTTTTTTGCTCTGCATAGAAAAATAAATGCAGCAACATATGAGAACTGTACCAGGAAGGAAAATCACCTAATTTTTTATGTTATTGATCTCTGTCCTACAAAA